ATCGTGGATGGGGCAATTGCCTTGTACATCGCGAACTGGGCTGGGTCCCCGGTGTCCCATATGGTCCCAGCGTGCAGAGCCTGGAAAAAGTAACCCCTGAGCACCACCAGGTGTGGCCCTCCAAAACAAACAATGGAAACTCCCAACAACAAAACCCCTCCACAGGTAAAGGTTACCTGAAATGGGGGAACAGAGAGGAACAGTGAGGTCTCTTTTGTCTGTAGAAGGGGGAATAGAAGCCTGCTGCCTGTTGGCAACTTTATTGCTTTGAGGTAGTAATGGATTTTCCTAAAGCTGCTTCCCTCAGATCATTAATTATCCTCGGCTACTGCTGGGCTATTGTTCTTCAGGATGGGTAAATAAGCCAGCTGGAGATACCCCTTATCTTCAGACCACAGTGCATATTTCTAAGTGAAATATAATCCAGGTGCCAACACTGAAGGTATGACATGGCTCCCTTCCCTTTTCCTCTCTTATTCCTTGCTGGGCTTTTCTCTTAGGCTTGTTACCTTCCTGTTTCCTGGTGTATGTGATACTCTACACAGCACCATTCTTCTCCAAACTCAACACCCTCCAAGCTGAACTGTCCCGACACTGCTTCGGGTTCTGTCTTCTCTCCTCTCCAACCAATAAGCATTCCCCTCATCCCCAAACAAATGAAACCAAAACATATCTGGTTTCCTGTCCTGATTTCAATTTTGGTTATTGCTATGCCACAGTTCTGCAAACCCCAGGACATGCCGGTGCGGTGTACTTAATCACCCCACATAAGGTTACTTTTTCCAGGCTCTGCACGCCGGGACCATATGGGACACCGGGGACCCAGCCCAGTTCGCGATGTACAAGGCAATTGCCCCATCCACGATCCAGTGGCTCAGGCCCCAACCCTGTTTTATCTCCTAATACTAAGTGATTTACATGCATTAGATCATAAGTCATCCTGACTACAGTTCTGAAGTAGGGTCTTTTTACACAGAAAATGAGAATATGGTGTGTTAGAGACAGAGAGCAGGGAGGAGAGAGTAGATTGTATTTTCATTTACTTAAAGGGAAAAAATAAATTGCTAGGCTCTGTAATATGGGAAATCTTTAAATGACAGGAAAAAACCAAAAATATTTCCCTGAAAGACTTCTACACTATCCCAAAGATCATGAGGTTTTTAATAACTAAATGAATTAGCACAGGGGCACACACAGGATTATATCTGGAGGTGCTGTTTTCCCGTCAGCTATAGAAATTCTCAATGAAAATCATGATTGATTCAGTTCCTCAATTAAAAAAAAATTAGAAGCATCTCTTTCCTTATTTAAGAGGCCAAGCCTACGTAAGAGACAAGATAAGATAAGGGTCATTCAGAGGTGGAGAGGACCAGCTGTCAGAAGCAGGAGGTAGGGTTATAGGTGTATGTGCTAGAAATAGAAGAAAACCAGGTCACTGCTAACCAACCACCTCCCTACTCATCCAGGATTTCAACTGTCACAGGAAGGAAGGAGGTGGAAGACAAAAACTTAAATTCAAATAAACATTGAAATTCCTCCTTTGTGCCAATTCTCTATAGTACTGGACTAAAAGACCATTAAAGAGTATGGGTTTAATACTTTTAGACATAGCTGGGGCTAGCAGGCGACCCTTGATTCAAATATCAATAAACAGCCTCATTCCATGACAGGGTCCCTGGCCTTGGTGACAGTTTCTGAGTACTACCAATAAGCAGCTTTTCTCCTCTGCAGAGGCCCCGGATTATTTCGTTAGACAAAGTTCCTTGAGAGTAGAAGCAGTGTTCACCCACTATTAGTGACACAGCACCTTCAAGTTCTGCTGATAAATGTGCTATCCAACTGGGTGGTCACTGGCCACACAGTGTACTGGAATAGAATATGGTCATTATGCATGAGGAAGTGATTTTTCAAATCTGATTTCATGTAAATAGCCCAATGGAGTTAGAGGGTACAGTATGGGCAGCGTGAGCTCTAAACCACAATTACATCATCAAATGTACCAGGCAGTTAGTATCCTCATAAAATAGAGCATGTGGCACATACAAAGGCCAAAGCAGCTCATTGGTTCCCCTGGACTTTTGCTACACAGGAACTTTAGGTGGATGTTGCTAACTTTAGGTGGATGTTGCTAACTTGTTTCCAAATAAAGCTGAAAATTTGGGTTTTCACCTCCAATTTTAAAATGCTGACAAGTACTTTTAAAGAAAAAGAATACAATTGTTTTGTATTCAAATCTCTTGGTGGGCCCAACACTCTATTTGCAGACACTTGTCAGTTTGCAATCTGTAATCTAGGTTTTGGTGAACCACTTCAGCTCAACAGCAACAACAAAAGGACCTTTATTCAAGGTCTCTCCACCGTGGCCGACCCAAGACTAAAACCCTGGTTTTGGGATTCTTATTCTGATGTCCTTTCTAAATTTTATGAGATCAGCCATATCTAGATTTTGGTGGTTGTGGAAGAAGCAACCGCAAGAACAAAAGTTTCTCTTGTCACAAGTTGTTCAAGCTGGTCTCTTATGAAGAGTTCCTTCCTTGCTGTAAGTACATGTTGAGTTTATGAGCAGGCTCTGCACTTGGAGCCAGCATGCTATAAAGAACAGTTCTTGGGGAAGAAAAGGGACTTAGACAATTACCATGTCTAAAGAACTAGACATAGTCAAAGACACAGTCAGAATGGCTATAAGGGACCCTAGCAATAGTACAGAGGGTAGGGTATTCGCCTCGCACTTGGTGGACCGATGTTCAATCCCCAGCATGCCATCGGGTCCCCCAAGCACTGCCAGGAGTGATTCCTGAGTGCAGAGCCAGGAGTAACCCCTGAGCATCGCTGGGTGTGGCCCAAGAAGAAAAAAAAAGCGGCTATAACTATAATGGACACAAGCTACCTACACACAACTGTGTCCAAAAGCACTGACAGCTGGGAGCGGAAGGAGAAAAGGGATTTAAGCCAGGCCTCAAGGGATAAGCAGAAGCTGGCCAGTGACAGGTTTATGAGGGTGGGTTCCATTATCCAGGATATTCCGTTTTTTCCAGTTTCTTTTTATCTTTAAGGCTTTATCTGGGACAAGGCTGGCTTGTCCTTTCCTCTAATCTCTAAATGTAAAGCGTCCCCCAAAGACTTCAGGGACTTTCCTTTCAACCTAGCTCCTCTTCTTAGGTGACTAAGGAATAAACAAGACATTTATTTATTATCTTCATCCCTACCCCCCTTGTAAATCTAACTCCCAAACACATTCACTTCATGGCTAACAGTTCTTATCAAACCTGGCAAATTCAAAAAACGATTTACAATGCTCCTTTCCAAACTGTTTTCCTGCAGGACTCTTTTTTTTTAATGGGGGCGGGGAGGATCGCCCCCCTCGCCTACACTGCACATGCCCTTCTACCGCAAGTACCTTCCAAATACCTTTGAGACCTACATCTTCCCATCGGTACGCCTAGTCCACAACCATACCCTGCCGTCTCGGCCCTGGCGTCAGTCTTTCCCATCCAGCAAGTCCAAAAGTCCGCGAGGAAGGAAACTGCCCACGCCCCTTACCTTGGGCCCACGGCCTCCCTCTGCCCCCGGGTCTTCCTGCTCCAGCCACCTGTCCGCCTCCGCCCGTTTCCAGGGGCTCTTCCCTCCGCTGAGGCATCTCCCGTGCAAGCTCCCCCCACCCCCGTCCTCGGATCTCTCCCAAGAACCTGGCCCTTCCCCTGCACAGCCTCGACTCGGCGTGTCTGGAGCGCCCCCGCAGCCCCTCGTCTTCTACCACTCACTTCACCTCGGCAGTATTGTCTCTGGGGCTTTTCTCCCTGGCGATCTTCCTTACTCTTTTCTTTCTTTTTCTCGACAGGGATTCAAAAAACGAAACAAACAACGGGGCTGGAGCAATAGTACGCGGGCGGGCGGGGAGGGCGTCTGCCTGGCGTGCGGCTGGCCAGGGTTCGATCATCGGCATCCCATGGAGCCCCCGAGCACCGCCAGGAGTGATCCCTGAGTGCAGAGCCAGGAGGAAACCCTGAGCATCGCCGAGTGGGGTCCAAAAAGCAAAAAAAAAAAAAAAAAAATCACGGCCTCCGGCCTCCGATTTGCTCTCTACAAGTCTGCAAGTTAGGAAGGCAGATCGTCCCCCTCCCCCCCTCCCCCCGTCCCCAGTCCGGAACGAGTCGCGGGGCCTGTACGGGGGCTCGTTTGGGTCAACCTTCCCCACCTGGACGCCCCTCGCCGCTTCCCGCCCCCAGTCCCGAACTGCATCCTGGTCCCCTTTTCCGGCTCCCGTGTCCATTCGGTGACCCCCGCCACGGGACTTCCGAAGTCTCGGGCGGCTCCCACACTTGACCTCTCGGCGGGGGGGGTCCCCAAAGCAGACGCGCGCTTGGCGGCTTCCCCGGGCGAGCAGCGATGACACCGAGGCGCCCTCGTGAGGCTGGGGTCACACAAGCACGTCGCCTAGCAACGCCGCCCCCCCCCGACCTCCGTCCGCGCCCCTGGGAGCCACCCCCTTCCCCCAGTCTCCCGCGCCCGGACCCCGCGTCTCCATCCCCTACACGCACTCGGCGTCGGCCCTGCCTTCCCCCCACCCACGGGAGAGCCGCAGCCCCCGGCGGGCACTGAGGAGGCGGCGCCGGGAGTCCAGCCGCGCCGAGGCCCTCGGAGCTCAGGCAGGTCCGGTAGGACAGGCCGGACGCCACCACCGGGCCGAGCCCGCGGGAGCGCCAGGCCCGCTCGGGGGCCGCCTGCCCTGAAGCGCCGGACCCTGCCCCCTCCCGGCCGCCCGGCCGCCCGGCCGCCCCTCCCCGCCGAGCGCGCCCGCTCCCGCACTTGCCCTTTCTCCCGGGCGCTCTCCGCGCCCCCCTCCGCCGGGCCCCACTTGGTCCCGCCCCTCCGGAGCCGCTTGCCCTTACTTGGCGACGCCTTCGCACGTCGCCGCCGACGTCACGACGCACGCGCCTCCCGGCCCGCCCCCCTCCCTCCCTCGGCTTCTCCCTCCCGGCGCGCGCGGCCCGCGGGGTTACCGGAAGTGATGATGCAGGAGGCGATGGAGGGGGCGGGGCCTCGGGGCGGCCGCCGCCGGTGGGCCGCAGATGAAGAGGCGGCGGCGGCGGCAGTGCTGGAGGCGGCGGCGGCGGCGGCGGCGGCGAGCCTGGGAACGCGAGCGGGGATGGTAGGTGATTTGGACCCGCCGGGCCGCCGTCGTTTCCAGAAAGGGTTTGACTGGAGGAACCTCTGGAGCAGCTGTGAGTTTGGGGGGGGTGGAGGTGGTGGCGGTGGGCAGCGCGCGGGGGGCGGTGTTGAAGAATGGGGGCGCGCTGAGAAATGAAGCGGCGCGGGAGGGGGCGTCGGGGGCCCGTGGCGAGCCGGCGGGAGGGCGGGGAGGGCGGGGAGTCTGCGCCGGGGCTGGACCGCGCGGGAGCCTGTGGCGTGCCAGCGCAGGGCTCCCGAGAACTTCGCCGCCGCGCCTGCCTCCCCGCCGCCCGCACCCCTGCAGCCGGCGCCCGGGCGCGCGCGGGGGGCGGCGGCGGCGGCCGGGGGGGGGGGCTGCACGCGCTGCCCCGCGCCCCGGGCGAGCGCCGGGAGATAGGAGTCCCCGCGCCCTCCCTCCGCCCTCTCTTCCTCCCCACCCCCACCGTCCTCTTTAATCATTAACATCCCTGGAATTAAGGGGCTGCGACCCGGAGGCCTCCCGGTGCACCTTCGCCGCGGACCCGGGCGACATGTGCCCGCCCGAGGTAAAGGGGCTGGAGGCGCTCGCCTGCCGCCTGGCTAGGAAGTGGGACGGGGTGGCAAATGTATTGTTTTTTTCCATCCCTCCCTTCCCCTCCCAGCTCCCGACCTCCTCCTCCTCCCCCTCCCCCTCCCCCTCCCCCTTCTCCTCCTCCTCCTCTTCCCCCTCCTCCTCCTCTTCCTCCCCACCCCCTTTACACACCCCTCATTTATTTCCACTTTGCTTTCCTTGGGCTCGTTGATCATCTGAGGGGGCTTTTTGTTGTTTTTTTTTTGTTTGTTTGTTTGTTGTCTCCCCCCCCTTCTTTTTTTTTCTTTGTGGCACTTGGTACGGTGGTTGCCTCTTTGGAATTTGCTGTGCAGCCTCCCCTCGCCCTCCCAGGTCTTCCTTCCACCGCGAGCTTTGTAAGACTGGAGTTTCTGGCTGCATGGCCTGGGGAGTGACTCTCCCTGCCTGGCCGCTGAGCTAAGTCAGAGGAGCACTTCTGCCGCGTCCCCGAGCCACTGTGCACGGGGATTCCTCAATGGCATCAGAGCCCAGGAACCAGGGTCTCTTGCTCAGACCACTTTCAAGTGATTTTTGGTGTTGGGCTAATTCTGGATTTCTGTGTTTCTCGCCACCCACACTTCGTGATGCACTTTGGGAGCACAGAAAAACCCCATGTTACTTTTTGGTGGCGGTGGTGGTGTTTCTGCACTTGGACAATAGCTCTTTCATGCCCTCTTCTCTGTCTGTGTGTCTGGCACACAAGTCGTCGGTGACATACCCTCTTGGTGCTGATTTCCAGCTGCTTTTGCTGATTTTGTTTGAGGCGGGGTGGTCTTAAATGAGACAGTGCAGTCTGTTTAGTTTTTTTGCAAATAATCGAACCCAGTGAGGGGTGTGAAAAAGATGATTTGAAGAGAACAGAGAATGATGGGAAAGGTGGTCTCTTTGTTGATGATTGGTGGGATAAAAATAAGAAAACCACCTAGTGCTCCTTAAGCCTTTCATAGGGATTTCAGAATGAAGTGTAGTGTGTATTTTGGTGCTGGTAATTTTCTTTGGAAAATCTGTTGGGTCTGGAGCTGTGTTTTCTGTAGAACTTTTAAGAATTAGTACCCACATTTTTGGAATCCTTTGATTAGAAAGTGACTTTAAATCCTCTCAGTTACTCTGTGTGTTTGTGTGTGTGTGTATACGTACATACATACTGGTAAAAGAGCTCTAACAGACCCCATCCTGCCCATCCAACCAGAACTTTCACACCCTGTAAAACTTTTTTGCGAGTGTGTGTGTGGGGGGGGGGGGGGGGGGAACGACACGACACCGGCTGATCTCAGGGCTTACTCCTGGTGCTATGCTTAGGGATCACTCCTCGTGGTGCTCAGGAAACAATATGGGGTGCCAGAAATCATAATCTGGGTCAGTGTCATGCAGGAAAGTGCCTTACCTGCTATACTGTCTCTCCAATCCCTAAAACAATAGTTAATGCTTTGATTACACAAGTCCTGTCAGATGTTTCACAGCAATGCAACAAGAGGATGACTACTAACCTTCATTGATTTGGATCCTCGTTTGCCATTGAATAAAATGGTACAAAATTCATTCATTCAATAAGCGTTTATTCACAGGCTAAGTGCCAATGCTTTAAAGGTGAACATAAGCATAAAATAAGGTCCAGTGCCCTCGTAGAGTTTTATGGGCAGCGGTGGGGGGAGGACCTTGGGGATGAAATGAGATATAAGCCAATAAGTCATATTTTGGTATATGATGTGGACCTAACTAGGACATAAAGAAGACCTTCCTAAGGACGCGACTCTTAAGCTGAGCTGTGCAAAGGTGACTGCCACATGCAGATGGGCAGGAGGCATCCTTGTTCAGGGACTAGAGTGAGTTTGGCAAGTTCCAGGGACTGGGAAGAAAGAGCTGAGTGAAGAAAGGAGGGTGCTAAGAGGGGCAGGGGCAGGGAAAGGGAGGCAGTAATAATGGCCAGAGCTTTTTGTGCAAAGGATTCCGGGCATAGGTAGAGGCTGGGCTCAGAAGAGATAGATAGGCAGAATAGTACAAGGAGTAGGAAATAGTGACTGATGCTTCTTTTTGATGAATTCTGTCATCTTACCTAGAGTGTTATCACTTAATATTTTTCAACTACCATTGAATTGCTATTTTTTGGTTTGGTTTGGTTTGGTTTTAAAGCCTCATCCTGCTAAGAATTGGAAGCATGATCACTGAGTCTTGACTGGCATATAAATGGCAAACTGTGTTCAGAACTCAGAGGGCTGTTCAGTTGACTGGCACACCTTTTTCCTTACAGTTGTTTGTCTTACATGTTGTTACTTAAAATTGCATAATAAGTACCCTGGGTATTTTCTAATATAAGAATTCTCCTTTGCTTCCAGCTATGTATGAATTTAGGGTTGAAGGTTAGGCAAGTGATAATAATATACCCTTGTGGGTCTACAAAGATGACCATCAGGATCTAAGTTTGAAGTTGCTTTTGTTGGGAGACAGGTTTTATGTTGCAATATTCCCACTCTTGTTTGACCTGATGACTAATAATACTCAGATGAGGTGTAGGTTGGTGCGAAAAGTTCACTCAGTGCATTGCATTAGATAAGTGACTACTGTGGGCACAATCCTACTATGTTGGCATCTTTGGGCTGGCATGTAACCAAAAAATCTAATCTCTTATTTTCTATTGGGACCACTTGTCTCTGATAGCTGCTTTTCAATTTCACCTTGATCAGATTATCCACTTGAGAGTCCCAGTTGCCAACTCCTTGATTTGGCAGCCCTCTTGACCCAAGTCACAGGGGGCTCAAACAAAAAGAATATGCCCTTGTCTTCTTTTGAACTCCACAATAGTGACGAGTGTGTTCTTTGAGTGAATTGGCCCATTGAGCCAAGTGATAAGAGAATTAAGTGTTGTTTGGACTGTTTGTAGTAAAGTCAGTATTAGAAATGCTAAATAAAACATTTTAGTACTGGGGGGAAAATGAATCAGAAATTGAGGCCTTGTCACTTGTTTTAGGTTTTAGTATACGTAGGTAGCATGGAAGGCTTGACATAGTTACATGGGTTTAGGCACAAGCTTTGCGTGTGATGTAGCCGAACCTGGGTTGAAACCCACTACCACACAGTCCCCTGAGCATTGCACGGACACACAAACACACACCCCTACCTCTGTCCCTTCCCAACTCCAGTACCTGTGGGATGACCAGGTACACTTAGCACTGTGGGGCCCCACACCACCATAGCACCCCCTTGCATCTTTGGACCCTGGTGTTGAACTACTGACTAAGTAGACTGAGAACTGTTGGGGATGGTTGGGACTGGGGAGGGCTTTGCATAGTCAGAACCAACATATACAGATAGAGTTTGCTGTGTAGATCTTGGGGGCATTGGAGCTTTGTACAGAATTACTGAATTCCAGCTTGACTGCAGATAAATGAGCAGGCAAATAAATGACTAAAGAGAACTGCTAGGATCAGGCAAACAGTTGTCCAGACTGAAGACTAAGTAAGTAACTCAGAAGAATGGAAACCTGATTTTTCTCTTTGGCCTAGGTAAAAATAAATAAATAAATAGAACTTTGTGTTCTAATGCTTGACTGAAAGTGCTCTGAAGTCAGTGGGTTATAAAGCTGCCTACTCTTCATCTTCATTTAACTGTCTTTATTATAAAATAAGTATGAAAATACCCAGTCAGCTGAAATTTCATCATCCCTTTTGGAGACTGGAGATTCTTTTCTAATTTCTAAAAGGGGTGGGTAGATAAGAGGGAACCCATTGACTCCTACGTTTGGCATTAATTGTATTTGGGGGAAGGATTTCCAAGTCAAAATGAATTTTGATGAGCTGAGTTGGCCTTTTAATCTAGAATATCAGTGAAATTGTTATCTTAAACTTATTGGGCTTTTGGACAGACTCTTCCCAGAACTGGGTATGCGCAAGACCAGATGATCCTACTTGCTATTGGAGTTGGGGGAAGTGTTTTCCATGGTATTAAATGATTTAAAATTAATCTTTGTTTACTGCTATTTTGATATAAATGCTGCAGTAAGGCTAGTTAATTGTACACTAGTTGCTAGTTGTTGTGAGATAAAGATGCTGAAACTCAGATTGACATAATGGTAATTAAATGATAACTCATATTTCTCAAGCTTTTCATAATTTATAATGACCTCTTGTGCCTGTTTACAGATGTTGATAGCATTGAGCCAGGAGCAGTCATTCCTAAACGTTGGGGCATTGTTCTGAAGCACTTTGTACAGGTGTCCAGTGCTTAACTGACTTGGTGTCTCTCAGTTAAAATCTATTATCACTGATTTTTCTGTTTTTCTAGGTGTTGGAGAGTCCTGTGTATTAAAGGCAGCAAGGGAATTATCACCTGACCATTTCATGATTATGAACTAGAGCCTGGTAATACAGACTATTCAGACTTAGTTTAGTGATATAATGAAATAAAAGGTTGAAAATTGGTAAAAAGTCTTTGAAACAGTGCTATCTGCTGAGAGGAGGCGGGTCCAGG